CAACCATCATCCTGTATTCTGTTTGCTCAAGATTTTACTTCTGCTGTATGTGGTAATGAAAAGATTCGTCACGATTCACGGTAGATGCGGCAGTTATATATATTAGTCCTAAACATTCTTCATATATATCTAGATATAGCGTATGTCGAGGGGGGGGGGTACAACCATCATCCTGTATTCTGTTTGCTCAATTGTACATACCAGTAGTCCAGTAGATACGTATCACCACATTAGTTAATAAAAAACAATTATATTTGATCGTTTTGTTCTGTTGCAATGAACCTGCCTTCCTACCGTCGCTGTTGTTGTCATGGCGAGAATCACCGGCTCATTCAATACCATCGTGATGCTGATAATCCACATCTTTCATCATCCATAACTTCTGTTCACTCAATCACTCACTCACTCACTCACTCTCTCACTCACACACTCACTCACTCACTCACTCTCTCACTCACACAATCACTCACTCCCTCCCTCATCACTCTCTAACTCACTCGCTCCATTGAGCTTACTCAGAAAGAACACAAGACTTTTTTCTTTTATTCATTTGTACAATATAGACATGTAGTCCCTGACTTCAGATATAGGACATATCGGAAAAGCATAAATAGCTGCTCAAGTGTAGGAATCCCACCAAAGACTGTACATGTAAGTTACATAATATCATACTATGCTACATTCGGGAAAGTACATTTGGTAGTTTCCTAGAATTCCTGTTATGTAATAGAAGCCACCATACCGAGTATACATTTTGTGAGCAAAGTAGCTATGTAATGACATGATGTAGCAAGACATGTGATTGGAGATGAGCAGTAGAATCTCCAAAGTTAGCTAATCCTGAGTAACGATTTGCGATAACTACTAACGGCTTTACTCTACTCGCGGAGGGCACTTTTACATAGTCTGATATTGTTCAGTACCCCTGCTATGTAGGGATGTGCCGGGTTGTCCCTGTAGATAACTTTCATCATATTCAATGCCTGTTCGTAATAGCTGAGGGCTTTACTGTGATCACCGAGTTTGTGCGAACATGCCCCAATGTTATATAATGACGAAGCAATGGCGGGATGTGGCGTTGTTTCACCATATATAGCTTTCTTCATCTTCAGTGACTGTTCGTAATAACCAATAGCTTTCCTCTGATCACCAAGGTCACTCCAACATATCCCAATGTTGTTTAGTGATGAAGCAATGTCAGGATGTGGCGTTGTTTCCCCATAGATAGCTTTCAACATCTTCAGTGACTGTTCGTAATAACTGATAGCTTTCATCTGATCACCAAGGTGACTCCAACATGCCGCAATGTTGTTTAGTGATTTAGCAATGTCGGGATGTGGCGTTGTATCGCCATAGATAGCTTTCATCATTTTCAGTGACTGTTCGTAATACTTCATAGCTTTGCTGTGGTCACCAAGGTCACTCCAACATGACCCAATGTTGTTTAGTGATCCAGCAATGTTTGGATGTGGCGTTGTTTCGCCATAGATAGCTTCCATCATCTTCAGTGACTGTTCGTGATAACTAATAGCTTTCCTATGATCGCCAAGGTTACTCCAACAGTTCCCAATGTTGTTTAGTGATCCAGCAATATTTGGATGTCGCGTTGTTCGACCATAGATAGCTTCCCTCATCTTCAGGGACTGTTCATAATAACTGATAGCTTTTCTCTGATTACCAAGGTGACTCCAACATGTCCCAATGTTGTTAAGTGATGATGCAATTTCGAGATGTGGCGTTGTTTTGCCATAGATAGCTTTCCTCATCTTCAGTGACTGTTCGTAATAACTGATAGCTTTTCTCTGATCGCCAAGGCCACTCCAACATGCCCCAATGCTGTTAAGCGACAACGCAATGTCGGGATGTGGCGTTGATTCACCATAGATAGTTATCCTCATCTTTAGTGCCTGTTCGTGATAACTGATAGCTTTCCTCTGATCACCAAGTTCACTCCAGCACAGGCCAATGTTGTTTAGTGATTCAGCTATTTCGAGATGTGGCGTTGTTTCGCCATATATTTTTTTCTTCGACTTCAGGGACTGTTCGAAATAACTGATAGCTTTCCTCTGATCACCAAGCTCATTCCAACATGACCCAATGTTGGTTAGTGATGAAGCAATGTCGGGATGTGGCGTTGTTTCGCCATAGATAGCTTTCCTCATCTTCAGTGACTGTTCGTGATAAATGAGAGCTTTTCCCTGATCGCCAAGGTAACGCCAACATGCCCCGATATTTTTTAGTGATTTTGTAATGTCAGGATGTGCCGTTGTTTGACCATAGATAGCTTTCCTCATCTTCAGTGATTGGTCGTGATAACTGACTGCTTTTCTCTGATCACCAAGGTCGCTCCAACAGTTCCCAATGTTGCCTAGTGAACTAGCAATGTCAGGATGTGGCCTTGTTTCGCCATAGATAGCTTTCATCATCTTCAGGGACTGTTCGTGATAACTGATAGCTTTTCTATGATCACCAAGCCGACTCCAACATGCTCCAATGTTGTTAAGTGATGACGCAATATCAGGATGTGGCGTTGTTTCACCATGAATGACTTTGCTCGTCTTAAGTGACTGTTCGTAATAACTCATAGCTTTCCTCAGATCACCAAGGTGACTCCAACATGCCCCAATGTTTCTGAGTGAGGAGGAAAATACGGGACGCATTTTGGTGCCTGCAAAATTAGTATTTCCAATGCTAAGTGCCTGTTTGTAGTACTTGGTCGCTTTATCATAGTCACCAAGACTGAGCGAGACATTGCCTAACGCAAAAAGTATGTCAAACTGCTGTTCCTCGTCACCACCCGCCTCTTTCAGTGCAGCCTCAAAGTAACGCTTGGATGCCTCAAACTGCAACAGCTGTTGTGCTATTCGACCCCTGGTTAGAGATGAGGTGTCAAATATGGCTGTTGGGAATATATTGGTGGTTTGATTTTCCTTTTGAACTGTATCCAAAATGCATCTTTTTAATGGAATGACAGTATAGTAGTACCTGAACAACATTTTGGATTCCGGTATATGGAAAACTGACTCGACGAAAGTGTCATCTACGTCATGTTTGTCCAGTTCGGTTTTCATCTCTGTGAGAGGAGACAGTCTGTCCGTTTGTCCTCCGTTGGCAATATACGTTCTTAACCGTAGCTCCGCTGAGATGCTGATCAGTACAGTCAAGTGGTGGGCATCTTCGTGACTGATCCGCTGTGTCTTGTGTAACTCTTCTATCGTTCCCCACACACTGGGGATCGTCATACCACAGCAAATACTCAACACATCAACAACCATGCTAGGAAAACGGTAGATTTCTTTTTTCACATTCAGAAGTTGGTCAGTTGGTTTAACGTTTTTAATTTGTTCAATATTATCCTTCAGTATTATCATTGCTGAGAAACGTGACAGAACAGGGGAACGGTCTACACTTTTGCTGACAATGGTTGTATACTCCTCTACCAAAGACTCATCCCCTGTTAAGTAGGTCACCCGTCTGAGGATGTCTGACAGGTGATAGCCTTCCGCCAGGGCAATTCTGATATACTGATACTTGGCCAACTCGGCAGGAGTCTGGATGAGAATAACCGGAGGTTTACGTTTGGTTTGGTCTCTTCCAAACGGAGTTTTAGAAGCCCATGGCATGAAGCCGTCGAAGGCGAAGCCGCGAGGTGTGACGGAGTCGAAGAACCAGTCTTTCTCTGGGTCTTCTGAGAGAAAGTCGTTGAGTGACGGGATGGCCATGGCTGGGAGGATGGTTTCCCCAAGGTTGATGACTTTTAGATGTAAGTAGTGTGTGAGATTTAGGAAGTACCTCCGTGTATCATCATCATCCTTCCCCTCTTCAATCAGAATGGCGAACTCCAGGTCGGAGTATGGCGTCACCAGTTCTGTGGCTTGTGACCCCAACCCCATGAAAGCGTACTTACAGGGAGGAGGTCCGAGTTTGGCGATGCATTCATCTGTCAGTACTTGGATGAACTCTCGTCTTCCAAATGTGATGGTCTTGAACAAGTTCTTGATTGCTTCAGCTCGTTTGATCTCTACCTCTCTCACGACGGGGTCGTCTTCATCATACTGATAAGGGTTGTGTTCCTGATGAATTGTTTCGAGCTGAGATTTTGCACGTGCGCGCGAGTTGTCCAGTTCCTTTATGTGATCTAACGCGCTGCTATACGGGCACGGTTCACAGTCAAGGTTACAGGTGTTTCTAAGAAACTGCCTTTCTGTTTCTTGCAGCTTTGTTACCAAGTTTTGTTTGTCTCCATCTGTTCTGGCCATGGAGGCGTTATACAGAGCTGCCGACTGTGTGAATTTCCTACCTTCTCCTGTCCGCTTACCTCGCTCGACGTAGACGTCACCCAACCTGCACAGACAGTCGGCTTCTACGGCCTTGTTGGGTTTACTGCGATCTGTAGGTATTAGAATTAAAGAAAAATTCCAATCAAAAATTAAAATAAAAAAATTAAATGACAAATCGGAGATTTAATTCTTTCTTGGAGTGTTATGATTTGTAAGATGTATTGCAACTGCATTGGTTAATCTTGGGAAATATAGAAATGCAACTACATCATAAAATCTATTATAAATTATACGATTGTATGACGTAACTTACCCCGGTATTTGACTATTGCTTATGTTTCATACTACGAATACACAGCACACGTTCCTGGTTACCTTATACAACTGTATCATCCAGGGCATGCCGGGTCACAACGCTGTCAATCAATTGAAATACAATCTCCACCACTTCCAATTCTCGCTCAGAACAAGGTGCATGCCAACCTTTCTTAAAACGACACTGCCCAAAACAATACTTTCGCACTCGAAGAAATTACATGGTGTAAGCATAGAATGAGTATAACAGACCGTGAACAAGCTTCAGAGCGGCTGCTAGGTTCTGCTCTGCTGCGTCCAGGTCTCCATTTCCTAAGTCACGGTCTGCCGTCTGGATGTACCTGCAGTAGGCTCTGAACAGCGAAACAAACGTAATTTTGAAACAAATGAACGTACCGGTACTTCACATGGGCACCGAATTCACTACAAAGTGTTTGACATACTGTTCAATAGACCATGCAGAAAATTGAACAACGTAGTTTTTTTAACCATGTCACAAAGCAACGTTAAACAAAGCAGAAATTAAGACGTTTCTGTCCAGCAAGATACTAAATGGCCCCTTGTTCGTGTTTTACAGGTATTTTGATTTGAAAGAATCAACTCCACTGAATACATCACACAAGTAAACATAAAAGCACTAACATCTCGTCTTTAACTTGACTTCTGGTCTCGTCGCTAGTGGGCGCAGCTGAGAAGGGAGAGAAGTGGCCCTTCTGTCCTCTCACGTCTTGCTGTTTTTGCGGACGTGTTGACCTCTGCGAGAACCAATATTAATCAATAGGTTACCGATTGTGAACTTTGACCAAAGGTCAAAGGTGAAGGACGCTACGTGATCCGCGGAAGGTCACTATGTTGCGTAAGCGCTGACCTCTACAAAACCCGATAACAAGTCATCGATTGGTAACGTTAATAGTGTTAATTAACTGTTATTTGATGGCCAACCCACAGATAAAAGATAGCGAAAACCCAGTGTGTTCTGTCCTCAAAGATACAGAACACACTCTACCCAAATCACAACTATATAGTTGGAAACAATGAAGTAAATACTAGTACAGTGAAAAACAACGTTTTATACAATGTTCCAATAAAAAGCTTTCGCCATTAGCGATTCAAAATGCATGACGGGATTTATGGAGATAAACAAAGTCAGAACCCGGAAGTCTAGTCAGCGCTTGTTCCGTCATGCTCAAGTAAAAATAGTTCTCTTACCTTGCTTCTTGTTGTGGTGATGTCTTGTCTGATTTTTGCGGTGTGCAGTAAGCGGTGTACAATGACAACTGTTCCATGAACGTTGTGACACCGCGCCAGTGCCCTGTTGTACAGAGCAGTAGCTCTAGTCAAGTTTCTAGTGTCTCCAGTTTCTGTTCCTCTTTTCAGGTACACGTCACCCAGACTCTTGATCGCTTCTGTTTCTAACATGCTGTTGTCGTTTACTATCGCCTCTACCATCACCTGTGCGTATCCAACCAGCAAAGAGTCTGTGTTACCTCCGGCAGCCCGTCTTTTGTCCAGGGCTTGAAACTTTGCCGCTACCTTTGCAGGTGTAGTCGTCTCCTTGTCTTCAGTTGACTGTTCCTTACCATGTGACGACACCCCTTGTAAAAGCCTCTCCGTGTAGTGGTAGCGGTGTTCTATACCATCTGCCTGTTCTTCATGGCAACACCGCACCATAGCAGCCAGATAAAGCGCCAAGGCTGTGTTGAACTTCCCCACGTCCTTCCCGAGTCTTCCCTTCTCCACGTTCACGTCGCCCAGAGTTTTGAGCAGCTCCACTTCCGCCAGCCTGTCCGTTTCGGCCATGGCGTCCACTAGGGCACGGAGGTAGCCTGTCTCCGCCCGGGCTAGTCCGTACCTCCTGCCCTTCTCGTCCGCCTCACGGAGTTTCTCACACACCCGCAACATGGCGACCCTCCGCTGAGAGAACGTCTGTAAAACTGTTCCCCGTTCTCCGTGTTGGCTTTATGCGCGTGACTCGAGCAAACACAGGTCTGGACAAACATCCCGCTGCTGGTGTCAGCATTACATCATCCCTCAGCCGATAACAAGGTCCAAAAGTCCAGTACTCCCACTAAAACATCGCCAGTACTCGTAAACATGTCAGGTAGCGTGTTGTATCAGTTCTTTTAATGTTATGTTATTTATTTCTCCGCACGGAGTTTCTCACAACTTAACCCACGGCGTTTTTTGTTTATATTCCAACATTTCATGACAAGACATGGTGACGGCACACACTTAAGTTATAACTTTTGTTATGCTGGTGAGCTGGTGTGTTACGCCGAAAGGCGGTTATACCGGCTATACAGATACAGATAACTTATATTATGCCGCCATCAACGCAGAGGACAAAAACAGGACAGAAAAATACTCATATTTTTACCTGAGTTAAGTAAGGAAAGTCTTGTAAAGTGCATTTCCCAAGGGCACAAGATCGTTGGCATGTCAGGACTCGGACCCGGGACCTCTTGGTTCCTAGTCGAGCACTCTGCCGTTACGCCACACGATTCCACATCGTTTTACCTCTGCTACATGTGTTAATGAAAATATTGTGGAAAAACAAGGGCTTTCATGTCATCATTGTCTGTTGGTAAGAACGCACATAGGGGTAGGGCTGGTGCTGTCATTGGTGCTGATCGTGCCATTCCGCAGGTACCTGGTAGATGTCGCTTCAACACAGTATAGCCACTTCTAGATCGACACGAGTCACGGCAGATATTAGTCCTCAACAGACCTCAATAGACAACTTTGGGGCTGGCTAGAAATCATTCGAAAATGTTATTAAAATATCTGCTTTTCTATTAGAACTGACCATAGATCTTAACAAATCAGAAATAAGGAGACAACGGAGACACATTTTAAGCTGCAAGACATTGTTTTAATCACAAAACGTTTGACTGTCTGAAGTCTTCCTTTCCTCTCAGTTCAGTCCAGGGCCGTTGGAGCACCTGGGCCTTACAGGTGAGGGAAAAACGTACAAGATTTACTAAATACTGTGGATTTACTAAATACTTGGAAATTCAATGGACTCCTATTACAACAAAGCTTTCTGATTGTGGTAGACGGTTTGACTCTATCGCCACAATGTTTGGCTTAGTTTAGGTTCCCATCCCTTACAGGAATGTTACAGGATCTTATAGCGTCGGGCCAGTTGCAGGAGCCCAGGGTCTGGTCGAAGTGCTTTGCGCACATACTCTGACCAGAGGTCATAGCAAATATCTCAGAAATTCAGAAACAAGAAGACGACAAGGCCACATCTTAAGTTGCAAGATATCATTTTAATCACATCTTCAGTCTGAAGTCCAGGTCCACAAGAGGCCCATTTACTAAATACTGTATGTTTGGAAATTCAGTGGACTCCTTTTACAGCAAAGCTACGCCTGTGATTGTGGTAGACGGTTTGACTTTTCCAGCCGGACTGTTTGCCTTAGTTTAGGTCTGTGTACAGTTAGTACAGGCATGTGACGAGTTCGGCCCAGTTGCAGTTGCCCAGGTCCTGGTCGTAGAGCAGGCCGCCTGGCCGGGCAGGTGTTGATGCCGTCGTACTGCAGACCGCCCTCCGCACAGGTGAAGAACTTGGAGCAGTCGTCAGGGTGTTGGTACGTTCCGGCTCATGAAATTATTTATGGACGTTTACCTTTAATTTCTTTGATGTCTGAGTAGCCTTTTAGTTACATGGTTGGTAACAGGGAGAAGATTGTTTACTCTTGCCATAGTCAGTTTTTTATCTTTAGATGCAAACATTTTTAGATGCAAACATTTCCAAGAATTTTCCACAATCTTGAACATGATATGCCAGCACTGATCATATAAGAGAGGGGTCTTCTAAGTGATAGGAATTTTAAAAATGATACTGTTTTTGTCAAAATGCTGCGATGTTGTTCTAAAAAAAGTGCCAATAATACTATTAGAAAGATTTTTGTTCTCTACCGTTAGCTCTCTGGTTGCAGAACCAGTGACACGAAAGTGAATCTTGTACCTATATTCCATTCAACCACTGTAATGAGTAAAAATGTATGCAATGTATACAGATGAAGAGATATTATGTAAGAAAACAGTGACCATAGGACTGTGTTATTCTGGACACAATAGTGATAGATTTCAAGTTTTTAGGCAAGCTGTGGCAGACCCAACTGCAGACAAGGATCGAATGCAGATTTTTTAAACAGTGAATTTTTTCAGGCAGGATGCACGCACAGCTATCCCAAAAGTAACTTCAATTTGCAATCGTACTACATGTATGTGACCTGCCCCTGAGTGGCATCAAGTGCACATTGTGACGTAAACTCTACAGTTTGCCTAAAATTGTACTGTTCGTACTGTAATACCTGTAAAGATATTGTAAAGAAGGGAAACCCTTCACTTTATTGTTGTTGTTTCTTTTACATTTGTTCATAAAGTAAAAGGCAAACGTAACATCAAAAGCTGTTTCAGGCCTCTTGAAGATTAATGTTGAAAAGGTTCTTGCGTATCTTTTGCAAATAATTTTTTATTTTGATTTGATTTATTGAAATTGCAACAGTGCAATACACGCGGAACATAGACAGCTGTTACTGGTGTTGTGTCCCACACATAGAAACAAATACAGGACAGACAATACTAATCTTTACTTTAGTCTAGTGGGGAAAGTCGTGTAAAGTGCCTTTCCCAAGGGCACAAGATCGTTGGCATGTCGGGATTCGAACCCTGGACCTCTTGATTCCGAGTCGCGAATACTGCCGTTGCGCCACACGACCCCACTGCAAAATTAGAAAAGTGCTTGGAGATGGAATCCTCCACCCTCCTTGCCTTTTCCTTTTTGCATACTTGTAACCTGCAATTTGAGAGATCTTCCCAAAGACTCATCCCAAAACACAAGGCCATGATACAGAAAACCCCTTTAAGATCCTTTCATGACTATAACCTAAGGACTAGTCCTGTCCACCATGTTGATCATCCGCATCTTTCACCCACCATAACTTCTGTTCATTCATTCATTCACTCACTCACTCACTCATTCATTCACTCACTCACTCACTCACTCACTCACTCACTCACTCACTCACTCACTCGGAATCGGCGGAATAGCTGAATTGGTAGTCTGAGTGATCGCTTTGTAACCGGGAGGTCGTGAGTTCAAACCCCGGCCGGGTCATACCAAAGACTTTAAAAATGGTACACACTTCTTTCTCTGCTTAGCACTCAGCACATATGAGAAAGAGTGTGGGAAGGTCAAACACACAGCACTACCAACACACTAGCCCCCTGCTGTAGTGCCTTGTGTCACCCAAAGGCTACGAAATGGAGATTACACTCGGTATAAGAGCACAGGAGACCTTACTTCCATTCACCCACTCATTTCATTGAGCTTACTCGGAACTCATATACATGTATGACTTTGTTTCCTTTATTCATTGTTGTGACATAGAGAGAGACTGTTTTATTGTACCATATACACAGAGAGACTGGTTTATTTGTACCATATACACACAAAAGCCTGTAAGCAGCCATATTTGGCTGAATTGAGAAGGCTTTAAAACATAAAATGTGCTATTTGATAAAAGCACATTTGATAAAAACTTATACGTTGCATATCAAGTTAACATAAAAAATTACTGCACATTAAAAGTAAAATAATGCAATATAAATACAGTCGTACGTATCCATGATTCCAGATATAGAAAATAAAGGAATTGTCCTGCCTATACGTACAATGAGTGCAAGAAATTCCACCAAAGACTACAAGTACATCTATTAGTCTCCCTTCGCAACACAACAACTTGCAAAGTACATTAATGCCCCTTATTATGTAATAGAAGCTGCCATACTTACATAGTAAGCAATTTGTGGCCAAGATAGCTATGTAATGACATGATATGGCAAGGCAGATTGGAGGTGTTCAGTAGTGTCTCCATAGTCAGCTAATCCCGAGTGACGATTTGGGGATAACTAATAACGGCTTTACTCTACTTTTGGAGGGAACTTTTACATAGTCTAATATTGTTCAGTACTGTTGCAATGTTGGGATGTGCCAGATTGTCCTCATAGATAACTTTCATCATATTCAATGATGGTTCGTAATAGCTGATGGCTTTACTGTGATCACCGAGTTTGTGCCAACATACCCCAATGTTGTGTAGTGATGAAGCAATATCGGGATGTGGCGTTGTTTCACCATAGATAGCTTTCTCCATCTTCAGTGACTGTTCGTGATAACTGATAGCTTTCCTCTGATCACCAAGGTCACTCCAACAGGTACCAATGTTGTATAATGATGAAGCAATGTCGGGATGTGGCGTTGTTTCGCCATAGATAGCTTTCTCCATCTTCAGTGACTGTTCATAATACGTGATAGCTTTTCTCTGGTCACCAAGGCGACTCCAACATGACCCGATGTTGTTTAGTGATGAAGCAATGTCGGGATGTGGCGTTGTTTCGCCATAGATAGCTTTCTTCATCTTCAGTGACTGTTCATAATACGTGATAGCTTTTCTCTGGTCACCAAGGCGACTCCAACATGACCCGATGTTGTTTAGTGATGAAGCAATGTCGGGATGTGGCGTTGTTTCCCCATAGATAGCTTTCCTCATCTTCAGTGACTGTTCAGAATAACTGATAGCTTTCCTCTGGTCACCAACGTTGCCCCAGCATGTCCCAATGTTGCTTAGTGATGAGGCAATGTCGGGATGTGGCGTTGTTTCCCCATAGATAGCTTTCCTCATCTTCAGTGACTGTTTATGATAACTGATAGCTTTCCTCTGATCACCAATGTAACTCCAACAGGTACCAATGTTGTTTAGTGATCCAGCAATGTCGGGATGTGGCGTCGTTTCCCCATATATAGATTTCATCATCTTCAGTGACTGTTCGTAATAACTGATAGCTTTCCTCTGATCACCAAGGTGACTCCAACAGTTACCCATGTTGTGAAGTGATGATGCAATGTCTGGATGTGGTGTTGTTTCCCCATAGATAGCTTTCCTCATCTTCAGTGACTGTTCGTAATAACTGATAGCTTTTCTCTGATCACCAAGGTGACTCCAACATGCCCCAATGTTGTTTAGTGATAATGCAATGTCTGGATGTGGTGTTGTTTCCCCATAGATAGCTTTCGTCATCTTCAGTGACTTTTCGTAATAACTGATAGCTTTCCTCTGATCACCAAGGTGACTCCAACAAGCCCCAATGTTGTTTAGTGATGACGCAAT